AGTCCCTGATTTTATGCATTTATAGTATTTTTTTCAGTCTTTCAGAAGACTGAACGGCTGAATTTTACAGGGAAGAGTATCATGTAACACTCCTCACACACAATGGCATCTGAATGGGTAAGAGAGCAAAGCAGGGTGTGCTGAATGCCTGTGAGGGGCACCTAGCAGAGGGAGGCTGGAGCAGGGGTGACTATTTGTGAGCTCCCAGCTCCATTGCATAACTTGTTTACATCCTCCTCCAGAGTGGTTTGGTCTCAGTCTCCCACTGCTGACCCAAGCAGCTGCAGTCAAATCCCACCAACATCTTCCCACCTTGTTGGCAGCAGCAGCTGAGGAGGAGCTGGTCTTAGAGTAGTGGAAGGTGCAGAACCTGTGTGCACCACTGAGGCTCTGGGTGATGGTGAAGGAGAGAGAGGAAAGGAGAAATCCTCATGCTGCCAGACTCAGAAGCTGGCACCAGAGGAGGTGCAAGTAGCAGTTCTGGGCTGAGAGGTATTGGTATCACAACAGAGAGGGGAACCCAGTGCTTCAGACTCTCTCCTACAGCTGCAGTCATTCATCTGTCTGCAGTGCTGGTGGGCAAACAGGGATGTTCAGCTGCTCGGAAAGAATTTACTGTTCAATTTACTTCCTCCAAAGACAGGTTTTTGGCCAGATGAAGCATCCCTACTTGGATTCAGCAAACTAGGTCAGCAGCTGGACCACATGAATAGTTGCACTCAGGGAAGATTTGTCTGCAACTCTTAAAACTTACGAGTAGGATTGTTTTTTCCCTGCCTTGATTAAATATAGGAGCTAAATGGCAAGGGTGTTTGGTATGGAAGAATTGCTTTTGATAGAAGCACAAACAAAATCTATAAAAATGAACAAGAGTGTTCAGAGAGCAATTAAGAAAAAAAAGGAAAAAGCAAAACTAGATACTATACCCAAAATGTCCCTGATCTCAGTTATTCTCTACTACAACACTTGGAGGAGTCAAAGGAATGCCATTTATCTGGCAAAGATAAACAGAAGACTGGAAAAGCAGTATCAAGTAGTTCAAGAATTACAGACTGAGGGAAAAGAAAGAGGGAGAAAGGAAAAGAAAGTAATTTAGGATACAAATGTGAGCTCTTATACACTGTCACAAAAACCTTTATTATAAATCCTATGCTTACACAAGAGGCAGTGACAAGTCTGTTTTACCAAAAGCAGAACTTGGAATGCTGTTACCTTTCAGCAAGAAATAAAAATGTAAACAGAATTTGGCACCTGCCAGTAATAATTTATAGCATTAGAACCTGAAAAAACATGCTACCTCTTTCCTGGAAATGAACAAGGAAGTTCCTGTCATGTTGCTTCCTCCCACACAGAAAAATGTTTGATAATATTGCCTATAGCCATGGTGAAGCACTAAGAAGTATATTCAAGTCACTTGGGCAATTAAAATTTTCTCAAGCCCTTGCACAGAATGTAGACCACCCTGCTGGTAGGTGAACTACTCAACTGGGACTCCCAAGAAACTGAAGGAGAATATGGACCTTTGTAGGCCAAGTGTATTGCAATAACACCTTTTGCCCATCCAGTAATAAATGTGTAAAATCATGAGTCAATGATCTTACATGCTAGGAAGAGCTAGTGAGAACCCCTAGGACCTTACTGGAGAAGATTTGATTGGGTTATAGGAGCAGCTGTGACTCAATCGGTGCAGAACTTCTTCCCTGACAATTGCTTTCCAGTTAAAAAATACCTCAAAATTTTAAGAGTTGATTTGAAGTGAATCCCACAGAATTGTGAACAGCTTTTCTTAAAATGGAACCTAAATTGAATGGACATTAATTAGAAGCCAAATTCATAGTGTGCTAATTATTAAAGAATACATCTGAAATAAAATACTAAATATCAGTTAAGGCCAGTAGATAAACACACATTGAGTGCTATTTCCAACAGTTAAGCTGCTCAAGGAATTGTCATCAGTAACAGAGACAGAAAACCAAACAGTTGTTATGTCCCAGACTTCAGACCTGTCTGACCAAGCTGTATCTTGTTCTCTCACCTGAAGATCCGAATAAAGGAATCCAATGTTAAAGAGTTTATGTGCTGAACTTCTGAACCCTTCACTGCATTTGTCCCAGCAGCTTCATTCTGAGCCACCACAGCAGAGTTTTCAGGCTGACCAATGCACTAAATAAATGAGAGGTTTTGCTGTACCCTGTAGCAAAGTGGCAGCAGAAGAACCCATCAGCAGAATGGGACCATCATCATCACCATCATCGCCCACAACGAAGGTCTTGCGTCGCTACCAACAGCCTCTGTGTGCTTGTGGTTGATGTGCTGAAGGGAAAGCAGCACATGAATATTGTTATTAATTCAGAAGAATTCCTCTACAGCCCTCATGAGTCACTATAATTATTTTTTTGTTTCTGTGGTTTTAGGCTCTGCAACTTATTGAAGGCTGAGCTTTCTGATGCAGCACGACTTTACCATGACACTTGTACTTACTTGCTATGCGTTATTTGTTATTTGTAGACACAGCACTGGGTTTAGTTTACATGGTTCACATGAAGTTGCACAAATTCAAACAAAAACCTCTGCACAGGATGACATAACAGCTGATCATGGGAGCTGCTCTTCAAAGTGACATTCTGCAAGCATCAGCTGCAGCTTCAGTCTTTCCTAAGTCCATCAGCAAGGGCTTGGTCACATTTGCAGGCTCAGATCTGCTACTCCACTGCTGTTATTTAGTACAAAACTTACTCATTAAAGACCTTGCACTCTTACAAGCAAGCACACTCTGTTGTTACACATCCACTAATAATTTTCTCATGTGGCCTCTTTTTAATAGGGGTTTGGATTTTTCCTAGTGTTTTGCAATAATTTGGCATAATTTAAAGAGAAGCGAAGTCAGCATGTTTGTTCACCATTTTTATAATGCATCTGCCCATTACATCTTCCTCTCCTCTAACTTCACTGTGATACTCCTGTGGGTTAGGCCTGCCCTTTCAGATCTGGAATGCTAATTGCATTTAAAAAGTAGGAGTACCCATTGATTGGTTTGACACAGAGATTTCTGTGTTTTCGTGTGCAAATTCTTGTTGATAGTGTTCTATACGGTGTTTCAGAGTGCTAACAGTGTCCATATAAAGTAAAGAGAAACCAAACAGTCTTACTAGCAGACTCACCTGTAATCATGGAATCTCAGCCAGGGGAAAGAAGGGTAGGGTAGGGTAAGCAGGCTCTCTTGGATAAAATTGGCAGCACAACTTCTTCTGTAGTCACTACTGTGGAAGGAGAACAAATCCTGCAGGTGCCACCAAAATATGAGGCCATATAGCAAGGACAGGAGAGAAAAAAGTTGGTCTGCCACCTTTAAAAGGATGATATGAACAAAATTAATCTAGTAACAGCAACCACATTTTCTTGTATAAAGGGAATAAAGCACTAGGATAAATGATCCCAGAATGAAACCAATGGGATTAAATTAGTTTAGTTCTCAATGTGCATATAGAAGGAAACCAGAGATGAGACAAATTAATGTAGAGAAGGGAACAGAGTGCTGGCTGGCTGCAGATAAGCAGGAAGCTGAAAAACATGTTGTCACTATTATTTAATCTATGCATTAAGTAATCTCTACTCATTTACAGTCTACTCCAGTACTCCTGTGTCTAAACAGGTTATTAAAGTTCTACAGATGTTCATACAGACATTGTCCAGGGGGAAGCAGTACAGGAACTAATACCTTGCTCTAGTAGAAATCTGTGTTTTCCCAGAACATGATATTAAGGAACTACTTTTGTGATTTTGAGGTAATTTTTGTGACTGAAAAACAGGAGGATAGTTCCATTCCTACTTTAGGCTATAGCATGAAATAGCTGGTTTTACAAATGATTCAATCCTTACTATATCATCCACGTACTGTTTAAATACCTAGCAGTTCATAAAGGAAGCTGCCATGAGAAAGGAAAATGTGGGTAATATTTCTTATGGAAATCAGCATAATCTGCTCAGGGCTGTGTTCCTTTTTCATAAGAAATGATGTATTGGTTTAGTCTGCTGTCAAAATTGAATGGTAGTAACTGAAAAACATCTCAGAGCAAAAGCACAATTTCAAATAGTAAAGGAGGTTATTTTTCACAGTGATGCTTTGTTCATAAAATAAACCTCCAGTGAGTAAATTATAACAGAATCTGGTCCTATAGCTATTCTAATAATTTTGTTCTCTGACAGTTTCACACAGGAGGAGGGAAGTAAAATGTCCGCAAGACTCTGATGCATAACTATGTATTCCTGCTAGTTACTGGAAAAGTAATATCCAAAAATAATAAACTCATGGTCATCCTTTTATCAGCCCTTTCACCCCCCATAGCCCCCTTGCCATTACTCCTAAACTAGCTGATAAAAAGAAATCTGGTTTTGCAAGCCAGAGACCAAATAATGAACAAGGAGGTGCCAGCCTGTTTTTAAACCAGGAGATTCTCTGAACAGTGTTTGAAGAGCACAATTCTTTCATGTTTGGTGATAATGTCTCCCATGTCAGAGGTTCATGTCCTGCTGTCACTCTGCTCAGTAATAATACCTAAGATATTACTCTTTCCTAGTGTGTTACTTCCATTAAAGAGTGACTTTGACCATTAACAGAGTGTGAGCAGCTTCTATTTTTTCTACTTCTTTCTAAAACACACCCACCAGCCCCTGCCTTCTGTTCTGTAGATGTGCCTCATGTAGGATAACTAACCCAGTTCTGCTGAGAACAAGACTGAGTGGTTTGGATGTCTCATGTGTCTGTGTGTGTGTGACTGGAGTCAGGGACAGGACTGATGGAGCCTGTGTAGGGGAATAGAATATAAGTAAATAAAGGTGGTATAGAAAGTAATCTTGCCCCTGAAGAGTTGCAGCTGGGCTAATTACTAAAGATTAGGAGCAGGCCTGACTTTAACAGGCCACAGCTGTAGCCAATAAGAAGAAGAGTGCTATAAAAGAGTGGGTTGGGTGGTTGAGGGGGAAGTGGAGTCAGATGGTTGCTGTGAGGAGAAGGAAATGTTAGTGCTTGGAGGGGCTGCCTACAAGAAATCTCAAGGAGGTATGAAACTGGCTCTAAGGAGACAACATTATGGAACCTTTGCTATATAATGACAACAAGCCTGCACTTTGGATTAAACACCTCTAAAAGAGGGAGAATATAAGATGAGCCAAAATTACACTTTAAAACACCTTGAAAGCCTGTGGGAGACCATTCACACATTTTAGTCTCTTGTAGTCATCTTTGAGATGAGTCCCAAGGGTAGAGCCTGACCTCGTGGGCTACAGCTTTGGCCATTTCTACACCTTTGGAATATGCGGTGCTATTTCTGTATTATTCTCCTCACTATGGATGCTCAGCTCACTTCCTAATGGGATTTGTAACAAATGAACAGTCTTCTTGAATGTTAGTTAAGTTGTTTACATTATAGTTAATGAATAGTGAGGGCTGAGCCACCTGCTACACTCCATCCTGACAAATCCTCTTTGGAGTACCTTTTGGCGATAGCTTCCCAGATAATCTTGAGCAAGAGCACATATTCTACTCCTTATGAATCCTTTTACCTTGCTGGCATTATCTGAGCTCCAGTAGTGCATCAAACGATGTAATTAGCATCCCTCATTTGTGGTTTCTTTTCACAGCCTGTTTCCTACAACCTTACATTTGCTGTGCCAGATGCATTACTGAAGTCTAGACATATTGTACTTGCTGCTTAGAGAAAAAAAAAAAAGAAAACCAAGTATTCTCATGGCAGTAGAAATCTTGCTTGAGATATCAAATTCTTGTGTTGGTTTGTTTTCCTTTTTTTATACAAGAGAGAAATGCCAACACAAGAAAATTCTTTCAACACATGCACCCAGAGACATTTTAAAATTAATACCAGGGGAAAGAAAAGAATGATAATTAAAAGTAACTATTTGAAAGTCAGCTGGGCACCTTAAGCTGAAATTCTGGTGCACCATTAGGGGGCCATCTCAATATAAGATCTTAAAATGAAGGTTTTAGAAAGACTTAAGAGTTTTATTCAGCTGAGACAGACTTGCTCAGGGATAAGTAAGAATTCTTTACAATTTTCTCATGGGTCCTGCAGGATCCTAGGAGCAATTTCTTACATTAGGAAATGCAGGTCCACTACACTTCAGGGTCTGTCAGTGGGTGGTTAAGAAGCACAATGTGCACATTGTACCTAGGCTGTAATTAAAGAGGTATCAGCTATTTTTCAATATAGAAAGCTTTGTCTTCTGACTACAAGAATAAATAATCCGTCACTCAGGAATGCTGGATAGTCATCATTTCAGGCCTATAAATCATAGTTAATGTGTTTTATAACCAGTTTTACTGAAATGTTATTTCATAAAAAAATCACAGTAGCAGCACCATGCATTGTGTTATTTATTGCTACATGGGGGAGCTGCAGAAGCATCCTCCTCATGGTTCAGCCATCTCCCCCGTGGGAGAGCAATAACTGCCATGGTTTGAAGAACAGTTGACAGTATCAAAAGGAATTTCTGTATTCATTTGAAAATTGGACATTCTGTGCTTGCTATAAGGCAACAGGCGATGCAAAGTGATCAGAGGATTAGTTAAAGCATGTATTGACAGCACTGTGTATTGTTTTAAACAGTTTTTACCTTGATTTTTTAATACAGTGACACAGATCTGAAGTCAAGGTGTCTTTGCACATGATTTTTGCAAGCAGTAACAGTGACTTACAGTTCTGTGTAAGGCTGGCTGTACAAACACGAGTTCCCTTGCACAAGCTCTGCTGAAGCTGGTCTGAAGCTCCCACAGTCTCTTTCCTCAGCTAAGCATGAGAACGAATCTCTCAGAAGGCTGTGGGCAAAGGCTGAGAAGGTTCCTGTGGGCTTCTGTAAAGCAGCAAGATGAAAATCAAACGGGAGAACGCAGAGCACCACATAAAGGTAGGAGCATACAAATGCAGAGACTAAGAAGAAAAGGCCCCTTAGGCAGCAGTGTTAATTCACAGCTGAATGTAAATAGTGTCAGATCACAAAGAAAGCAAACATCATACTGGGATACACATGCAGAAATATAGCCTGTAATATATATGAAACAATTCTTCTGTTCTACTCAGAAGTATCAGTTGAACCTCAATGTCCCCTTAAGGTACCACAGTTCAAAATAGAAGTGGTATAACTAGATATTGTTCAGGCAAAAGCATTGAGAATGATCAAAGCTTCAAAAACAAAAAAGGCTTCAGAAAAGTGTTCCCACACCTACCTACCTAGGAAGGAGATAATAGCCACACAGCAGCACTGCCAAGGATGAAAGGGATATGGCCACAAATGGGAATCAGCTGAAGGAAACAGAAATAAATAATTCTTTATTTGTACAAATTTCTCTCTTTCTGGATATACTAAACAATATAACTCACTGAGAGCATTTAGCAAAAGAGAAAGCAAAACACAAGATTCCCAGCACTAAAACTAACATATCTCTTCTATCCCATCTGTAGCCAGTATCTAATTTTACCCTTTCTCAGGATGTGCGTGTTTGCATTCCTAGCTCCCTCATTCATTATTTTAGGAAAGAATAATACCTTTTCTACTCTTTTCCAAATAAAATTTACTCTCCTTGTTTCCCAGTGATTCAAAGAAACACTGGCGCCTCCTAATTTGGAAGAAAAATGCAAAACATAAACGTTATCATCTTTCTTAGAGGAAAAAACTTGTGCTACCATGCTGGAAAACTGGTAGTGAGCTGGCCTAGCAAGTTTCCACTGTGATGGCCAGTTTCACCCTAATTTGGGGAGAAAAAAAATTGAGTGCAAAGCAAGTGTTCAACAGACAGATCCTGAGCTACCAGTCAGCATGTGCAGACTTCTCAATATTGAAATAGTGCTCCCACTCCAAGTGTATCCTGAAAACAAGGATCCAATACAGCTTTCATCAGAAAGCAGAGCAAAGAGCTATCTAATGTAGCCAGAATTAAAAAGTGAATTCTCGGATCCCCAGGTGTGTGCATCAATGTCTGTGTCTACCCAAGCAAGTGATTTATTTCATGCATATGCAGTACATGAAAAAGTAAAGTAAAACAAGCACATGCAAGGGGACGGGGAGAGTCCTATGCTCCAAATATCCAGATCCAGGACAGTGACATTTCACTGGACTAGCAGACAGGTGGGCTCACAGCTGAGTGTCCCACTTTTGAGCAGACATCTAGGCAGAGCAGTTCCTACTGTGTGACTGTTCCAACTCAGGCCATGCACGCTAAGGCAGCTAGGATCACATGGCCAGGAAGCAAAGCAACATCCACTAAAAGAAGATCTGTTTTGGGATCTCTGACACCAGCCTCAGTGGTTGAGCAGTTACATCTGCTCACCAGCAAAACATGGGTGTGCAGGGCAGAAAGTGATGCGGCTGGATGTGAGCACAAGGAAGGATCTGTTTGAGGAAAGGAGTGGTTTAAGGAGTCCCTCCAAAGGCACTACAGGAGGCAGAAAACCAGAGGTGTAGAGGAAGAATGAAGCTACGTGAACAACTGATGGGACCGGAAATCTGACCATAATATTAAGTCAGTAAAACCTATTTTACCTGGAACTTCTTGATTTCTAGCTCTGGATCACGTTTTTTCTCAACGTTTTCATTACAAAAAGAAAAGAACTAGTCATCTGGTTTTAGTTTTGACCCTACGCATGCAGGGTATTCCAGACTGCAAAACTGGTTGCAGCCTTAAACCTGGAGATAGGATGAGAGTGGGTGAGTCACATTAAAATTGTTCTCTTTCTTTTCTGACTCACTGCAGTTTTGTATTTCAAAATTTGAAGTCACTTTTGCACGGTCAGCCAGTTTAAATAATGTAGCAAATTCTTTAGCTGCAATGTTCTCACTCATTTTCCGCAGAAGCTTAGGTGATACTGAAGACCTACCCGGAGACTTTTTTTACTGACTTTTACTATTTGTCACTGTCTCCAGATGGCCTGAACAATGTCTTCATTTTAAATTCAATGACACATTACCAACACAAGAAACATAAGGCTTATGAAGCTCTTGGCCTTAACATCTGACAGTAATAAGGATGTGAACAAATACTTACGTACACACACGTCAGTATATTCTCAGCTGTAATTTAGAGAGCTTGTTTTGTGGTAGAAATCTTGAAATGCTACCTTTGTCTTTTTTTTACTCTATTTCCCAAAATTCTACTAAGACAGAATGATCAAGACCAAGACTCCCAGCAATACGCAAAGAAAAGTGAAATGCAGGCCTGAAAAAGGGCATAAGAAGGGATTTCAGCTTATTTTTATTAGCTAAAAAAAATAATTCTGTGACAACTGTTAACCAGTGAGAGGCCTCCTATATATATATAATTTTCTGGTTTCCAGTAACTAACAGAGCCTAAGTTGCTTCCTAAGGTGTTTGAAGTACATCCTATGAGACTTTGCCTTTCTTGGCAATGTCCTGCATAGCAGGTAGGTAATGAGAGAAGCATTTCAGTGACTCAGACCATGGGGCGATGCCTCCATAACCAACAGAGAGTCTGGCACGAAGCAATCTTCATGTGGGAAAAATCTGAACCACTGATTCAGGGGTTGCTAATTGGGGATATGAGACTCAGAGGGGCCTAACACTATCATTTTCTTCATTCTTGTGTTGTGGACTCATAATAATAGGTTAATTATGGTTTTAATTTTGGAAATAGAAATCATTGTTAGAATCACTGTTCTTCAACAGGCCAGACATATAATGATTTCTTTGTTGCAAGTCTGGCAGAACACAATGCTTCTTGTTTGTAACAGCAACTGGACAATTTATTTGCATGCAGGAGGTAGTTTGTTCCACTGGATACCCTTCAGCCTTTACTTTTCCATTGTTCAGAAATAACACAGTATACTACAATTACAATTATACTACAATAAGGCTTCAATTATTGGGTAAACAAATTTAATCAACCAAGAGCATGGCTCATACATAGCTGCAATTACCTGCAAAGTTATGGATACTGACAGACAGTGGTACTGCCTTTCACTGCATCATGAGAAATGACATAATTTAAATATGCTCAGCTATCAGTGAGACTCTCATTGTTAAAGAATATTATGGCAATTATTCTATAATAGCATTACTCCATCTTGCTACTCACACATGGACAGTGAAAAGATGGAAACTTTGGTGCCCCTTGAATACACTGTCTCTTTGCTGCCATCACACAGTGGGAATTTCTATGTATATCTCATATTTTGAAAAGAACGCAAGTGCAAGCTCTTGGGATCCAATTCTTCATCATCTGCCATCAGGACACAAAAGCCTTTGTAGCTTTGACCAGTGCAACAGCCTCTCTTTTGCTCACAGCTGCCCTTAAAACCCTTGTCTTCTACCAACACATGGATGCCTGTAGCGATCCCCAAGCAAGAAAGAGCAGCTTCTGGTGCAGGAGTCAGTGACCTGCTGGAGAACGACTCCTTGGCCAAATCGGCCCCTCTCACCTCTCTGTTTCAGAGCTGAGGCAAAGGACAAGGTTTCACACTGAGATTACCATCCCCAATTTTCACTGTTGCCATGGAGGTGTCTGCACAGATAAGATGCCTTATCTGTGTCTTACCTGTTTTTGTCAGCATTAAATTGGTGAATAGAGTAGTGGAGGTTGGAGGGTAATGCAGTTTTCCAAAGGTAGGTGCCCAGGCCATTTTACATTCCCTATCAAGCCTGCGCTGACTTCCATACAGAACATCGAAAAGGACACATCTCCTGGCAAAGCTTGTGTCATATCCAAAATAATGCATGGCTGTCACCTGCCTTTGAAGTCACTTTGGGGCAAACTGAGTTGATCCTGTGGCTCTTCTGACTGTACTGCCCAGAGCTCAGTGCAGCTTCCTGAGCAGCTCACGGATTGCCATCCAAGATGCCCTGGGACAGCCTGCCTGGAGTTCAGACACCACTGCAGACCTGGGTATCCCACAGGCACTGTGTTACATGTACCAGCCCCCAGTGGGTGTCTCAGAAACTCTACAGTATCTCAAGAGGCCCAAGAAACATGCACATAGACACCTGAAGCCTACCTACATTTCCACAAATTTAAATGGGTGGCATATCTGTAGACACTTAGGCTGAAGTGTATTTAATATTCATATTGAATCTCCCAGTATGACCCAGATTTGACCTGCTCCTTTTGGTTTAAAAGTTTATACAAAGACAGTTACGGGCACTCAACTAAGAGCATCAGCTCTTAAGCTGTCATAACTGGACTGTTTGTCTATTCTAAACAAAGTTAACAATTTTAAATGAGTTTAAAATTTGAGTCCTCCATTCTTTGCCCTTTTCAGTCTATTATCACCCCAGGCGCCTCTCCAAGATGGACTTTCATTTTTTCCCTGAGAGACCTTGACTGCTACTGCATTTTAGAGTGGTGATCAGTCAAAGAATGTTCCTTTATAAGTTCTTGTTCTGTGTAAAGCTGTAAGTTTTCTCTCAATCTTATTTTAGTTACAAGAAATTTCTATCCCATTGTTGGAGATAATGAAAAAACAATGCCACAGAATCTGGGCTCCTGAAGAAGATTCAGCAGCTCGTCAGCTAACCAAAGAGGAACAATGATAGATACTATGTGCCTCACTGAAGAATGAAGCCCGATAATATCAGAGACTAGAACTATAGAAGGAGTAATCATACCACTGCTAACCTTTTCAGCAGAAATATGCAGCCTCTGCACATACCCAGCAATTGCTAACTGTCCACCACACCTATCCAGATACCCTGAGTCCTGAATATTCCTCAGCAGATCTTGCAAAGCCTTCTGCTTCTCCTGCACAGTTCTGTAATTTATCACTCCTGCTGTTATTTTACAGCAAACTAGAAACTGAGGTGAGAGTAATGAGGTGCAGTAAGCTAGATGGTGCAAATAATCGCTCCATCAACAAAATTAGTTGACATCACATCAAGCTGAACCAAAAGCACCAGCAACAATTAACCTGAACCTACACAGAATATCTACTTTGCTGGGCCTAAGCATCACAGAAATTTGCCACACAACACAAAGCATAATGTATTGTCAACTGCATATGTGAAGATGTACCCAACTGCACACATTCATTAAAAACACATAGATAGCTTTTACCATGGAAACTCAAACTGAAGTACAGATTCATTCATCATCTCCACTCAAACAAAGCATTATGCCTCCTGTAAAATGTACAGCCTCATCTTTGAAATCTATAGCCTTGCAAAGTCCTTAATATGAATCACAATTAATTAATTAATTAATTAATTAATTCACTCGTTCATACATATCTGGTCACCTTTTCTAGCCTTACTGCTCACACTTCAAGCCATTACATTATGCTTCAACTTTGTTTCACTATCCAATTGTGTTGGAATCTTGGATGAAATCATACAAGTGAGTCTGTGGATGTAAATCAGTGTCACTTCACTGGAACGCAAGGAGTTAGTTATATCCTCTTACAACAGCAGTGAATTCAATCCAGGATCAGTGGAATAACATAGTTCCAGCATCCTGGTAAAAATGAATAATGGGGGCAGCCTTGAGGCCCCAGGTAAATAGATGCCATAAATTCAGCCCTCATATAAATCCAGGAATTTATACAATTAGAAGATACAACCTACTCATCTTGCTGATCACATACGTGTGTACTTTAAAAGCTACACATTAGTCATTGCTGATGTGAGTAGCTGAAACTTTGCTAACACCACAGAATGGCACTGAGCTCTGCTGGCTGCGAGTTCTTGTGACATTAGGCAATACACAGCTAAAGGCAGTGGTGCTCAGTGGTGCCACAAAATGGTGAAATGCAAAAGTGAGATTTTCCAGAGCTCATTTCAAAATTACTGGAAATAGTGTAGCCATTTCCTTTACCTGAATTTTTAAAAGCCTAACAGAAATTCCCTGGAAAGAGAACAACAGTGAAAGAAGTGATCATCATACAGCTGAATGACTTAATTGAAATCAGTGAAAATAATTCTAGAGTTAAGTGCTACTCAGCAAGAAAAATGGGCAGAATTGAGCCCAAAGTGGCATCCTATCCAAAACCAGAGTGATGGAACTGAGACTCCTCATCAGTTTCTAATATGAACCCCCCATGAGCTTTTATCAGCACTGCGAGAAGCCAAGAAGCAAGAACATCTTACTCCACTGCTTTTCCCTCCACTGCTTCTCAATGCCCTCCATAATTAGAACACTTCTAGAAATGCAGGTCATGTGAAGACTTCAAATGAAATAACAAAATGCCTGCTCTACTTACCTTAGCCCTTTAACAAATACATACTCTTGAAAATTAATGATACATTAATACATTAGAAGCTTTTCAGGATTATAAAACATACCTAAACCACAAACAAACTCCAAGCTAACATTACAGATGCACCAAGAGACCTAATTCACACAACAAGAAGCCCTGGAACAGCACTTTTAAAAATTCCAGTGAGATCAGTAATTATGCAC